TCTACAGCAAAAAGCCTGAAGGGAATGATTATACTCACCAGAACAAATACAATCAGCTGTAGTTATTCTGGTGACTATAGTGTCCCTTTAAAATGTATGCTACTTTGTAGAGCTGCAATGGCCATAACCCTTCAGCAAAAAAATTGTACATGTATTCCTTTCTGCAGTCTCTCTTGATAAAATTAGTAAAAAAAAAAAAAAAAGTAAAGCTAGGTTCACTTGCTCTAGTCTAACCGACCCAAGTGGCTCAAGTTATAGGAGTAGAATTAACCAGTTCTAAAAACACATTTTATACTAAAGGTTCATGGCCATTAACAGGGCTTACAATTGAAAGTCCTAAAATTGCAGGTCAGGCGTTAAAAATGACTTGCCACAGCAAGGATGGAAAACCCATCGGACACTTACCAGGTACTTGCCAGGAACAATATACATGTAAATTTTAAGCCCTGGTCATTACAATTTTCAAAGCAGTCTCCCTTTCACAAAAACTTATTTATATTGATGATATAGATCAAAATTTGTGGTGGCTTAAGACTTGATAAATGATGGGGACACAGTTGACAAAACTCAATTATTCTCTTTGGTAAAATTCTCAGTTAGTCATCTTCAAGTCAATGGTGATCCTGCAGCTGTTTCAGGCTATTTCATAGTATTTTCATAGTATATGGGAGATAAAATAAAGGGGTCATGACACTTGGGTTTGTAGTTGGGATCACTAATGATACCATGTAGCTTTTCTGCTTTTTATTTCTTTCTGAAAAAACAAACAAACAAAAGATAAAAATAGGTTTTCCTTTTATTTTAACCATTTGGACATTAAAGGACCACTATAGTGCCAGGAAAACAAACTTGTTTTCCTGGCACTATAGTGTTAATAGGTCCCCACCACCCTCATGGCCTGCCTCCCGCCAGGCCCTAGGGGGTGGAAGGGGTTAAACGCTTACCTTGGCACTGAATGCGCATGTGCAAGAGCCGCGCGCACATTCATTCAGTCCATACGAAAGCATTTCTCAATGCTTTCCTATGGACGCAATCGTCTTCCCACTGTGAAAATCACAGTGAGAAGCGCGAAAGCGCCTCTAGCGGCTGTCAATGAGAAAGCCACTAGAGGCTGGACCTGGCACCCAGACCACTTCATTGAGCCGAAGTGGTCTGTGTGCCTGTAGTGGTCCTTTAAGCTTTGATCATTAGAAAGTTGCAAATGTTTTATACTGATAGTTATATAAATATATATATATATATATATATATATATATATTCTAGTCTATTAATGATACTTTATCATTAGGTTGCTTGCACATTCAAGGTTATTCACTGAATTCACATGATTAGGAATTTAAATGGCAAAATGTAGCTCATCTAGAAAAATTCTCCAACTCAGCTTTAAATATAAAGTTTTACCTACATTTTGTGATTCAGATTTCAAATGACTACATTCACTGTTTGGTGAATACATCTTATTAAGGGGGATCTATCACATCAAAGCAGGTGCTATTTAGGGTGCAAAGTACTAAATATTGAGAGACCCGTTGTTGATTACATGGTGAATAGTATTTATTTTGCTCCTGTTTGTACCTTGGTAAATCTTCCCCATTGTGTTTGACTCTAGCATTAATAATTGTAAGATTAGTCTAGTTTAGTCTATGAAACATTCTGTTTAATGTACACCTGCCCCACTCTCCGGCATAGAACGTTTCCTATCTCTTCATTCTTTACGTATGTTGTCTATACTTTCTTTTGCTGGTGGTCATTGTTCTACAAATCAATGTTTTTCAATCATTTCCTTCTTTTCATTCATGTGCACATAATGCCTATAACTCATTTATCCCCTGTTCTCACACTTCTTATATATTATATATAATAAATTATCAACCCCTCAGTCCCCTTTCCTAAATACATAGTTAACATCTTTTCTGTTTTACTCTTTGCAGTGCCTTTGAACCCTGGCGTGGTCTCTGCTATTGGAACATAAGAAGACCCCAATGTTTACCTCTCGAGGGGAGAGAGCCCACCACACACTGCCCCTCCTCTTACACTTTACCCCTGCCAGCCTACCCCTCTGTGGGCTTAAGGGGGGTGCTCACAAGATTTATCAATATGGTGCTAATTCCTCTGTGGACTTGTGAAGACGGCCACTGGCATCTTTAACCCTTTCACTGCTGGAGAAATTTCAGTGGTACTTACCCTTAACACCTCAATGGAACAATGGTCTAGCCACCTCTGCAGCTCTGAAAGGGTTACTTGGGGCTTCAGAAGCCCTGTATCGTCACATAGCAGCTGGTACAAAGGGTTCTATTTTTTTTGTTGTTGTTCATGACGGAGACCCCACTTTCAAAGCTCCTATCCAGAGACACCTTACCCCTCTAAACAACACCTGCTTCATTCTTCAGCCTCCTTTTTCAGTCTGTTAGCTTGTTGTTAGTTTATTAACCCTTACTCTGCCAGGGAAACTTATAGTGCACAAAGTATTTTACCAATAAATTGTGAGGCCCATCTTAGCGACATATAGTATAATGCAAAGCACTTTCCTCATCTGCTACTCAGCAAAGCATTGTGGGTACACATTTTCTCAACTTAGCCTCAAAATTTTAAATTGTGTCAGTCTTTGGGGAAATGATGGGTGTTTGCCCATTTTTCTGCCAGAATGGGCTACCAGGAATTGCAGAGCAATGTGTTACAGTCCACTCTGGTAGCAAAGGGGTTAAGCTCTTTAGGTTTTTACCACTTTATAATATAGAAGTTGATTTCTACTGGTAAATGACAATCATTCAATGCACTGTTGCTGCAGTCGATACAGAAGAACGCAACTTTATTACAGTTTTTGGTTGGGTGTATTATTTTTTTTTTCTATTTTCGGGTTGAAATTTAAATGTTATAAATTTTGAAAATTGGGGATAATTCATGTTCCAGGAGTGTTTTATTTTTGTTAATGAATGGAGATGTTACAAACCAAGTTTGAATAAAGGCTGAAGAGGTGTTGCGTTGTTTACGTCTCAGTACTGTTTTGTTGAAATAAGAATCGTTTCTTATTTCTCTCTAACTCCGTTAAACAATCTGGTGAAAGAGAGGAACAATTAAATCTTCTTTTTCCAATAAAGATAGGTATCAGGATTGTTACACCTGGAACAAGAAACAATATGTGGTACAAATATATCAGTGACGAGATCCACATGTGGACTTCTATTTTTATATGTACTTCTAGATAAAAAATTTGCCATAACCTCGCCTGTTCTTGCAATCCATCACTTATAGAAAACATGTGTTGAGAATTATTGTAGAATAGCAAAGCCCAGACTACTTATATTTCAAATTGATCCTCTAACGTACCAAAAGATTAGACAGCGATCTTTCTCAAGCCATATGAGCACCCTGGCCCTGCTATATTTTTTATAATTTAATTGTATGGTGGCCTTTCTCAAGTAGTGAGTACATTATATCATTTTAGGAAAGTGTAGGTACACTTGAAACAGAGTTGGGTTTATTAGCTAATGAAGACCAGGAAAAAGCAGAAATTTTAAATAACTATTTTTCTTCAGTATATATTAATGAGGATCCTATGGCAAGAGATATGCAAATGTTTGCTGCAAAAAACTTGCAAATAACTTGTGACTGGATAACTCGAGACAAGGTGCTACAGCTATTAAAGAAAATTAATGTAAATAAAGCTCCGGGGCCTGACTGTATTCACCCACGAGTACTTAAGGAGCTAAGTGGGGAAATAAGTGAACCTCTGTATTTAATTTTTCAAGATTCTTTTGTTTCAGGTGTTGTACCGGAGGATTGGAGGAAGGCAGATGTTGTTCCTATATTTAAAAAGGGTTCAAAATCCTTGCCTGGAAATTATAGACCTGTGAGCTTAACTTCAGTAACTGGGAAAATATTTGAAGGGCTATTAAGGGATAATATTCAGGAATTCATTGGGAAGAACTTTGTTATTAGCAATAATCAGCATGGTTTTATGAAACATAGGTCATGTCAAACTAACCTAATTGCATTCTACGAAGAAGTAAGTAGAAGTATAGATCAGGGTGTTGCAGTGGATGTGATCTACTTGGACTTTGCCAAGGCATTTGATACGGTTCCTCACAATAGGTTAGTCTTCAAACTAAAAGAAATTGGTCTAGATGAATATTCCTGTTCTTGGGTAGAACATTGGCTTAAGGACAGAGTACAACGAGTTGTCATTAATGGTAAATTTTCAGGCTGGACAAAAGTGGTAAGTGGTGTCCCTCAGGGTTCTGTTTTGGGACCACTTCTATTTAACATATTTATAAATGATCTTGAAATAGGCATTGAAAGCCATGTATCAGTGTTTGCAGATGACACAAAACTTTGTAAAGTAATAAAATGTGAGCAGGATATTGCTTTGTTGCAGAGAGATTTGGATAGATTGGGGGACTGGGCACTAAAATGGCAGATGAAATTTAACATAGAGAAATGCAAAGTTATGCACTTCGGGGTTAAGAATGCACAAGCAACTTACACACTAAATGGTAGTGAATTAGGGATAACCACACACGAGAAGGATTTGGGCATTGTTATAGACAACAAATTAGGCAGCAATATGCAATGTCAATCTGCAGTTGCTAAGGCCAGTAAGATTTTGTCATGTATAAATAGGGGCATAAATTCTCGGGATGAAAATATAATTTTGCCTCTTTATAAATCGCTGGTAAGACCACACCTTGAATATGCTGTGCAATTTTGGGCGCCTGTTCTAAAGAAGGATATCATGGCACTGGAGAGGGTCCAGAGACGAGCTACAAAATTGATAAAAGGAATGGAGCATTTTAGTTATGAAGAAAGGTTACAAAAATTAAATCTGTTTCGTTTGGAAAAACGGCGCCTGAGAGGGGATATGATAACTTTATACAAATATATTCGGGGCCAGTACAAACCTTTATCTGGAAATCTATTCATAAACAGGGTTATACATAGGACACGAGGTCACACATTTAGGCTGGAAGAAAGGAGATTTCATCTAAGGCAAAGAAAAGGTTTTTTTACAGTAAGAACAATAAGTATATGGAATTCTCTGCCTGAAGAGGTGGTTTTGTCAGAGTCCATACAGATGTTTAAACTGAAATTGGATAAATATTTACAAAAACATAACATACAGGGATATAATTTCTAATTAGTGGGTAATAGCTGATTGATCCAAGGAGACATCTGACTGCTATTTTGGGGTCAAGAAGGAATTTTTTCCTAGTTTGTGGCAAAATTGGAAGTGCTTCAGACCAGGTTTTTTGCCTTCTTTTGGATCAACAGCAACAACATTTCTGAGGAAGGCTGAACTTGATGGACGCAAGTCTCTTTTCAGCTATGTAACTATGTAACTATGAACTTACAATGCTAGTGCAGCATTCTTTTTACAATTTAAATTTTTTGTAGATTGTATTACCTCTTTAGCTGTGGATGCTGAGCACAGTTTTAATTGGCGATGTGCCAGCACTGCATGGTGGGTAATGTGGCACTAACTAAAGGTAAAAATGCAAGTGAGGAGTTTGTGCAAATTTTTAGAGCACATGAAGGAAAACTAATGCAAGAGTACTTTCTGGGTCTAGGAATTTTGAATAGAAAAAAAAAATCAGTTGTGTATGTGGACACACATAAAAAACCCAATAGTATTTAACCCCTTATGGACACATGACATGTGTGACATGTCATGATTCCCTTTTATTCCAGAAGTTTGGTTAAAGAACATACATTTATGAATATGTTATGACATTGTGGAAGATTCCAAATAAATGTACAGAACTGCCCACCTCACCTTCGATTTATGCACGGTGAGAAAATGTGGTTCGGCCAATCTTTTTATTCTGAAGATATAAAACATTTTCGTATGTCGGTTGGGCTTGGCAGAATTTCATTAATGAAAACCTGAAACAGGAAAAGTAATCAGACTTGCCAGAATTGCACGAAAATGAGCCAATCTGTGTACTGCAAAAGATATACTTTTATAATATTATGTATATATTTTGCAGTACACTGACCGAACCTTTTTTAACCATTTGGTTCACTAATGAAGTGAGAAAAAGTAGCCAATAAAAGTAAAAAGAGGAGGAGCAGTTTAAAAAATGGTTTTTATTAAATATATAATATATAAAAATAGGTTTTATTTTCCTGATTCTCCTTTTTTTTCCCTTTATTGCTCACTTCAAATTTTGTCCCATCAATTGTCTCTTTTTCTTGTTATCACAGGTGGAATCCAGAATCATGAATCATAACCAACATGTTTAGCCATTGCATGGCTTGTTTGGTTCATGGTTCTAGTACATTTTGGCTCAGGGTTCAGGAACTCCTTTGATCACCCGATTGGTCCAAATTTGGACAAATTGCAGTTTGGGACGAAATTAATCTCCAAGTCAAAAAATTACCAAGGGCAGACTTTATAACATGAAAGAGAGACTGAAATAAATTTTAGGCAATTTGTCTGTTCTAAAAAGCTTGCAATTAACTGCATGAGGTCCCTCAGCAGATGTGCGCATAGAGACCAATTAACATTAAATATTATCCTGCTTAATAAATCAATGTCACCAGAAATCAAGCATAGCAAATATCTGGATTTATTGTATGCTTGCCCCAAATGCACAGCTTGAATTTACATCACTTTACTGAAATGTCAAATTCATGACAAAGAGAGAGAACATATGAACTTTGTTTTACAGGTTACTGTAAATCAACTAGCAGATACTGTAGACTTCACGAGATTAGCCAAGATTTCAGCTGCTTTAAAACTCCTGAAAAATAATGAGAAAATGGCTTTTACTTTAGGAAAAAGGAAGAACAGATATAGTTTGAAACAGCCAGGATATTTCAAGTCATATATATATTTGGAGGAGTACAGGGCTTGAGAGGAGAAGAGAAATGCGGAATGCAAAGAGCAGCCAGCAATGATTTTAGGCATACACACTGCAGAACATATTTGAACATCTCTACGTACACTTGAAATAAAACAGTGGGTGTGCATGACTGTTCTTTCTTGTGGTGGACAGCATGAGATGAGAGAATGAAAGTTTCGAGCAGATGGTGAAATTAATTTTAAACTTGAGACGTGATGTGTTGAACTGTCCCAGCATCCTTTTGCTATGGAGTGTGACTAAATCACATCTCCCCTGAGTCAATCTATCCATGAAAAAAGGAACAGGCCCCCTCCACATATACCCATATGAGTCACTGTGTCTATGGGATGGAAAGGAGAACCCCAGAATTGCTTCCATGAGTCACTCAGTACAAAATGATAAAATGTTGCTTGTGTTCCTCTAACCCACCAACGAATAGCAATGTGGTCCTAAAGATTAACGTGCACTAAAGTTTCCTAATATGTTCTAATTTCAGCTGTGATCCATTAAATTAAACTTGTCCTTATTGTGGAAAGATGAAGTGACCTCGCCTTTAATATAAGGATCAACAAACATATGCATGAAGTATATAGTATGTATGTATTGTTTTACCAAGGCAGCTATAATGACATTTCTTTTGGCGTCAGTTCTGTAATAGAAGCTATATTGTTGCTGATCTTATTAACGGCTAACGATTTCAGGTGGCACTTGTAATACAGACCAGAAAGAAAAAAAGAAAGAAAAAAAAAATGAAGAAAAAAAAAAAACGTGTAATAACGAGAGGTAACTGAAAGGAGTAGGAAAGATAAAGAGAGATAATAGGGAGAGGGAAGTGGATAAACCTCAAGTGGATGATTAATGGCATCTATAAAATCAGTCATGAAGAAATTCGAAGCAGATGTGATACAAGCTTTTGATCAGATGTGGAAGGTCAGAAGCAAAATGCAGGGTAAGGCAGACTGTGATGGTAAGGGTTCCATGGTAGGTGTGCCTAAAGCATTTTACAACATGTTTTCTGAAAAGAAGGCTCAGCTACACTGAGGCTTATAATGATCTAATATTTCCAAAGTTTACTTTTTGAGACGATATCATGTTAAAATAATTGGTATCACTGATCTCAGAGTTACAAAATTGGAGCACCAATTACCACTTTACACTGTAACCCCTAACACGCAAGGCTTGCCCTCAGAACATTTCAATTGAAGCAATGTTCTTTGTCTGTCAATTTATTTGTAACTTTTTTACAGCTGTACGGTTAATTGAGAGCTTCATAATGTGTTTCTCTCATTGTACATGTGTAAGGTAGAAAAATACAAACAATATTTCTGTTTGTCCTCCCAAAACCAGTGTGCGACATAGATATGCCAGGAATGAACTGGATTGAAAAAAAAAGGTTATAACATGGTATAGGTGATTTTCAATTTTTTATTCAATAGTGCATTGACACTACATGGCAGTATAAAATGTATGCAAAGCATATAAATTAAAGAAATGTGAATTTAATGATGTCTGTCTAGCCCAGTGGTAGTCAACCTTTTTCTACCTACCGCCCACTAATGCATCTTTTTGGTTGAAAAAATGTCCTTACCACCCACCAGTTTTCGGGCAAGTGCAGAATATTTTTTAGAAAGGAGGGTGTTTTTAAAAAAATCAATGTACGTACATTTATCTTTTTATTTCTACTTAATGCATGTTTATAATGTTTTTAACTTTATAAAGTTTAATGCGAAAACAATAAAGTAAATTGAAATTACCTTTACTAGTGATTAATGAGATCCTTGAGGTTGATGCTGCAAGACTAAATATTTGATATCTGGTTCGATTTTCGTAAGCAACAAAGTCTCCTCTTTCGGTGATATTCAGACGATTTCTCTGTTTGCTCATAATATGATTTCTCATCTGTGCATCAGCTCCCCTCCTCTCCCTCCTCAATTCCCCTCCCCACCTTCCCCCACCCTTTTTTTTTTTTTTTTTTTTTAACCTTCCTTATAGCAATGCCCAGTAGGAAGGCTGAGCTAGGTATCCCACTTACTATTACATACTGTAGCCCACTATAACATACAGGCACACATACATACACACACACACACACATACATACACATACAGACAGACAGGCACACACATACAGACACACAGACAGGCACACATACAGACACACACACAAGACACATACAAACAGACAGGCACACATACATACAGACACACACACAGACATGCATACAGACACACATAAGAGACATACAAAGGCACATACACACAGACAGACACAAGACACACATACATACTACACACATACATACAAAGACACACACATACATACAAAGACACATACATAAGACACACATACACACACATACAGACACACACATACAGACATACACACACATACATACAAAGATACAGACACATACATACAGACACAGACACACACATAGACACAGACACACACAGACAAAATGGTGGCAAATGGTGATGGCGGTACCCGGTCGCAGGGGTACCGCCGGCTTGCATCCGCCCGCCTGGTCTCTCAAAATTAGAAAATCCCTACCGCCCACCTGGAATCCTGAAACGCCCACTAGTGTGCGGTAGGGACCAGGTTGACGACCCATGGTCTAGCCACTCTATATCTTTTTCTTAGAAAACTCTGCTATAAGCATGTACAATTGATTGATGCCATTGATGATGTCACCTAGGATCTATATCCACCTTAAACAAAGTTACATTTTTATAAGGCAAAACTACTCAGTATACTGTTGTTTTGGTTTTTTTGCTCCCTGCTGACATGATTTTCATTTAAGCTAAGAGAAATCTCTGTGTCCCGTTAATATTGTTTTATGGGATGAATACACTGTAAAACATATAAAACAAGTTTTTTCTGCAAGAAAATAAGTGGGTCAGTCTTTGGCAACATCTTTAAGACAACTTAATTTTGACCAGACATTAGTAAAATCTTTTAGTGGTAAAAAGTCAGCATTGCTTTGCTTGCCCATCCTGCAATAAAAGAGTTAAATTAGTAGGCCTATCATAAATGTCATAAAAGATATGGTTTAAAGGGTCTATAGGGAGATCTGAGAAGTTTATCTACATCTATGTTGTTTTTCAAAGTCGAGAAATGTCTATGATAATGATAAAAAGGAAGGGCAGGGTAAACTGATCGTGAGAAAGAAAATTTGTGTGTAAGAGAATGATAAAAAGGTTAAATAAAATAATGGAAAATGTGTGGGAGAAAATGCTCCTTTAATAGGAAACAAGGAGAGAGGGACTCGAAGGGGGCAGAGGGGTTAAAATAGCTCATGGAAAACTGAAATGTTCTCCAAGTTAGGCTTATTAAAAAAGTCAGGCAGGAAATGGAATTCTCCCTATATGTTGTTTTCCCTTCGTTGCTATAGAAACAGCTCAAAAAAGTACAGGAATTTGTTTCAATTGTTTTTCTCATTCTTTCCAAAAACTGTGAATTAATTCTGGTGCCACGTGTTGTCCACTTTAAAAGTGACTAGGGATTTCTAAATCCATGAGATATTTTATATACAAGTGAAGGATAAAGAAGTGCTTATGTTATGGGTCATAAATTAGCTATTCAGCTATAAATGTAAAAGCATTTCAACTACCTTTGTGAATAATTTTACAAACTGTTTACATGTTTAACGTTTTTAATCAGAAACCACAAAGCAACTTAAGAACTATGGTGAAAACATAAAAATGCAAACAGAAGGGCAAAACTGCAAACATTTATTCATATATCATACTTCAACAGAAATTGAAGCTATGACACACCTTCCTATTGTATAAAATAGAACGACCACGAGCACACAAAAACTACGACAGCACCTATTTTTGCTATTGGTCAGTAGTTATTAGGAGAGGAAACACTCACATAAAATGTCTCTGTCACCTCAAACTTACCTTACTTCTATTGTTTACTTTTCTCTTTGTCCCTCAGAACCTGTTCTTCTTTTCTCCATTTTTCTCTGTTTCTGATCTATTTATTTTTAAAACATAAGAAAAAGTAGGACTACTTTGCCTTATTTATTTTTTCTATGCTTGACAATCTTGATAATGGGAAGAGCTAAGACATGCTCCAAATCCTTTATCAAGATAGTGGAGCTTTCCTTAAGCTCCACTTGTTTTAAGAATGCCAAGCGAAGGAAAAATATATATCACAAAGTAGAGAAATTAAATAGATTAAAAAAATGAAAAAAAGAAAAACATATCTGATAGAGGAAGAGGAAAGGAAATAGAAGAAACGCAAACACTAGAACACACCATTGTAACCAAGAGACATCCAATGCCTTCCTCATTATATATTAGGTGGGTTCTAAGTAATGCTCTTATCTAGATATTTCTCTAAATCCCCCACTGGATAGGAGAGCAATAGATGAATTAAGACCACAGGACCCCATACCTAGCATATGCATGCAACTCTGTACTGAAGGACAATGTAGGGCTAATGTAGCTGAAGCTCCAGGCCCATGCCCATAGAACAGGCACAATTATTTAAAAAAAAAAAGAAAGAAAATACACTTTGTGCAGAGGAAATATAGTGTGGAAACCTAATAGGGATGTAGGGGAACAAAACGTGTATGAACTAGCTGACTATAAATATAGTTATGTTAAAGGGACACTATAGTCACCAGAACAACTACAGCTTATTGCATTTGTTCTGGTGAGTAGAAACATTAGCTTCAGGCTTTTTGCTGTAAACACTGTCTTTTCAGAGAAAATGCAGTGTTTACATTACAGTCTAGTGATAACTTCACTGGCTACTCCTCAGATGGCTGTTAGAGATCCTTCCTGGGTCATGGCTGCCTAAAATGTTTACAAACAGTCAGTATCTCCTCCCTCTGCGTGCAGACATTGAACTTTCCTTATAGAGATTCATTGATTCAATTCATCTCTGTGAGGAGATGGTGATTGGCCAGGGCTGTGTTTGAATCATGCTGGCTCTGCCCCTGATCTTCCTCTTTGTCAGTCTCAGCCAATCCTATGGGGAAGCATTGTGATTGGCTCAGACCACCACATCTGATGATGTCAGCAGACTGCTTGTTTTTTTTTTAGGCAAACAGCATGCAGATCTACAGCTTCTGGCTTGAATACAGTAATATTTTCCTATATTTATGGAGGAATGAGGGACTAGATGGTGGTTTTAACACCATAGGGTCGGGAATACATGTTTGTGTTCCTGACCCTATAGTGATCCTTTAAAGCTGACTTGCTCTTGCTGCTTCAGTCTCTTTAAAACTGTGGCATGTCCCTTTTCTTTTAAACTCACTACAACCACCTTTTCCTCTGTCCCAAGCTGCATAAAAGGATCTGCCTGCTAGTAAGAAGATAAGGAGAGGACAAGTGAGTACTAAGGGACACTCCCCAGAAAGCATATAGCGAGCGCATTATTAGACACATTTGCTCTAAGCTCAGGGCGCCATCTGCATAGTACTTCCTTAGTTAGCCAGTATGCATGATTGGCCAGGCTGACCTTCCAATGTTTAAAGCAGACCCGCCTGAATGTGAAAGATTAGCATGGCGTATGAGTTTTCTTATAGATGCATCTTGTGAGTTTTCCTCCATCACCACCTCCATCTGATACATGGGAGGTATGACTGTTTTAGTGTTTTCTGTCAGAAAAATACTGTAAAGAAGCCCATTGTAATTGTAAGCACCAGGCCCAATGGGGTCTTAATCTGGCCCTAGTTGTGCCACATTTGCTTAAACTGGTAAGGCTTCTCCTCCCCAAACATTAGGACCAAGGGGTTTCAACACCACCGTGCCCAGAAGGTACTTTAGCCTGATTAATAAGAATTTTTTTAGATTTTAGATCATGTGGATATCAAGGTGCATGTGCGTCGTTTACGTAGTGAAGAGATGGCAGCAGGATGCACTATGCGAAGAAAGGAGGTCGTCGGAGGCAGTGTTATGTTCCAGGCAATGTTCTAGGGGGAAACCTTGGGTCCTGGATTTTATATTAGGTTATTCAACTAGGTTACATCTTACTTTATTATTTTTAGTTTATAGTTTGAGTGATCCTTCAAGGAATTTCACAATGTGAGCCTATTTCAATGAGCAAAACAAGAGAATTGCAATGGCTTCCTACACTGATCAGCCATATGTTTCTGAAACATAAGAGACACCTGCCAAACATTGTGTAGGTCCCCTCTTGTGCTGCCAAAACAACTCTGATGCATCATGGCATAAACTCTACAAGACCTCTGAACATGTCCTGTGGTATCTGGTACCAAGACATTAGCAACAGATGTAAGTCTTGCAAGTTGTGAGGGGGCCCTGATGTGGAGTGCCAGAGCCTCTGAGACCCTAACTCCCAACTAACTCAGCCTGCCACTGGACCCCAGGAGAGCCACCATCCTGTACCCAAAAGGTAGGGAACTGGAGGGTGGCTTTAAAAGTGTAAAGTTTGTATGTGTCATTGTGTCTGTCTGTGTATTAGTATGCCTGCATGTCTGTGTGTCTGTCATTATGTCTATCACTGTCTTTGTGTGTGTCAGTATGTCTGTCAGTGTGTTTGTGTCAGTATGTCTGTCTGTGTTAATATGTCTGTGTGTGTCAGTATGTCTGTCAGTGTGTGTGTGTGTGTGTCAGTAGGTCTTTCTGTCTGTGTTAGTATGTCTGTCAGTGTGTGTTAGTATGTCAGTCAGTGTGTGTCTGTGTGTCTATAAGTATCTCTGTTAGTGTGTGTGTCAGTATGTCAGCCAGTGTGTCTGTGTGTCAGGATGTGTATCTGTGTGTGTGTCAGTGTGTATATATGTGCATCTGAATTCAGTCTGTGTATCTATGTTTCTCTATGAAGTTTGTGTGTATATGTGTATCTGCATGTGTGTCATTGTGTGTATTTTAATGTGTGTTGCTGTGTGTATTTGTATCTGCATGTCTGTCAGTGTTTGTTTATGTGTGTATGCGTATCTGCATGTGTGTCAGGGTGTGTATCTGCGTGTCTGTATGTGTGTCAGTATGTGTATATGTATGTTATCATTGTATGTATCTGTTTTTCTGTATGTTGTCAGTGTTTGTACCTGTGTGTGTATATCTGTCTGTGTATGTGTATATAGTCAGTGTGTTTATCTGTGTGTCTGGATTTGTGTCAGGTTGTGTATCTGTGTGTCTCTATGTTTCAGTGTGTGTATCTGTGTCAGTGTGTATCTGCATGTGTGTCAGTGTGTAAATCTTTGTATCTGCATGCGTTTCAGTGTGTGTGTGTGTGTGTGGCAGACTGCAGTGTATGTGTACATGTGCATGCATCTCAGCATTCAAAATGCCAACACTACACACAAGTACACTCCTGCATTCAAACTTCAATACTACATACAAACACACTCCCACATTTAAACATTAACACTACATACAAACACTCCTTGGTGTTAAAACCAAACATAAATAAATATACCCTTGCTTTCATACAAACATACAAAAACACAATTACACTCAAACACAAAAACAATGCTCAGTGATAAATACAACCCTGCATAGGATAATGGTAGAGCCCCAGCTGTCAAAGCATTGTTGAAGTTACACAACAGATGGGATCTATCTGTCCTTGCACCAGGACCCTCTCTACTTCAGTTCTGCCACTGAGTTGGGGAGTGTGATGCGTGTTTGCATATCAAGGAGTGGGGAGGTGGGGAGTCAGGGTCCAGGGGGCCCAATTAAATGCTTGCCCAGGGTCCAATAGACATTATCGATGGCCCTGTCTATTCTCCTGATATTTTTTTTTTTTATGAGTATTTCTGTGAAGATTTCCTTGAGCCTTTATTTCGCCAGGTGGAGGTTGTGGTGGAACTTACAAGAGAAGCATAAATGCTCAGAATCAGGCACCTATTAGCTTTGAAAGGAGCGACTTGGCTAATTACGTTATTTATTATTCATACTATGCTATCTGAAATATTTTTTATTCTGTTTATTTATTAATAGATATGTGTACAGGTAATATAGCCTTTTCTTAAAGACATATCTTGGTATATTATTTATATTTAAACATTTTTGTAAGGTTCCTTTACTGTTACCGATGTTCCATTTTACTATTTGAATTGTTCCACTAATTATTTCATGGTGTGTATTTTGGGTAATAAACACACAGGTTTTGTAGCATAATTTATAGTGTATAAGTAGTAATAGCAATGGATTACACATTCTCTATTCAGTGTGAATATTACTGTTGGCTAGGAACCCCTTAGCATCTTATGGAGGTGTATGTTTTGGCACTATTTCAATGCTGTAGGCTGGGAACACTTTATTAGGTGCAAAGTATGGCCGTATTTAAATCTAGGGAGCTGGGCATTACCTGGCATGACAATATATTAATGTTTGTAGGCTAGGCACCCCAGCTTTACATGGAGAGCATGTAATGTTTGCGAAGGAGAAGGTAAGTCTGATAGCTTCATACATTTTGCTCAGACTCAGTCGCAAATGAGTTGTGGAAGACGGTTGCGATCTGAGGCTTCTTGAAAAGGGGATCACTGGATCCTCGTTGTTATTTAGCCATTCAACTGCTGTACTTTGAGAGTGTGGATGAAGGATATTAAAAGTTGTGTCTAGTATGGATTTAACCCCATCTGATAGACCAGGTAAATTGAAAATGAGCATCTGGGCAGCTATGACAGTCCAACTGCTCCATTTATAAACTCACCACTTACTGCACTTTGATAATGGATTAGAGTAGGCCAAATAACAAGGGTTCTTCTATTAATAGTGGAACACTACTTTTTATTTATTTATTTACTTATTCAATTATCTGTCCCATTGCAGATCAACCACCTTTTTAATTAGGGGTTTTAGCCCAATGCAGTCCCTGAATTAGTTAGCCTTATATTTAGGCTTTTGGTGTAAATTTGAGCCCATTTCATGTAAATTGGGATTCCAATTATAACATTATTTGGGTAAATGTAAAGACAGTTCTGAATTGGTACACTGGATGATTATGAAATTTTGCATCTAAATGACTCATATTGCCCTGAATGGTGAAATAACATCTGAGCTTAGTGAATTATTTTGTAAACCATGATAAGGAGGAATGTAAAAGCATAATCTGCTCTGAATTCTCAATATAATGAAAATGGTATGGCCAGATATTGGTCAAAACTCCATGAAACCACAGATTCTCACTTTCTTGGATCAACGGTAAATGTCGATTTAATGGTATATTAAATATTTTCCAAACACTATTTGTTATATTTTCAGCACTAGTGCCAATCTAAAAATGTATGACTTCCTTTTCTGTCCAAAGTATACCCATTTATTATGTGTACCTAATGTGGCCACTGGTGTAGACATAGCTATTTTACTACACACATCTTTATACATTTGACAAACAAAGCAACAAAGCCATCAGTTATTATCATACATTTAGAGTAACTGAAAACTCTAACAGTAAGTGAATATCTAATATTTGTATACGGTTGACTAAAATGAACAGTGTATCCTTAGTTGTATGTGTCTCTGTTTAACTGACTCTGTGGTTCCACTTAACACTTTATTACAGTTAATGCAGTGTTAGTCTCTGTATAATCTCTGTTTGTTTATTGTGCCAGCAAAGATAAATCTTGATTTCAATGTAAGCTCCTCTTGCATTATTCCAGCAAGTATAACTAATAACAGGATAAGGTAAAAATGGCAAGTTCTCATGGAGTTTGTGACGATACTTCTCCAACAAAAGGATCAGGACTATACCCCTGAAATAAAACTCAGCTCCCTTTAGTTCATTACCAGAACATGAAAACATCTAATGAGACTCATTACACTGTCACTCTGCCCTCTGCTACACTTGGCTCGTATAAATATTTTTTTATTGGAGCTTATTGGATGAATTCAAGTCTGCTTTAAGAGAATGGTTTTGTGAATTCTTCTTTTGAATTAGGTGGTTCTGTTTTGTTTTTAAAAGCTCTAAAGCACACTAATGTAAACAGATCCCTTTGCACATTGTATGTTTGTATATTATAAACTTAGCTGTAACTCAATATATAAAGCACGCAGACATGATCAAGAGTTGTTTGCATTTTTTTGACCAAACATTAAAATGGACAATACATATGGTCTGAACGTGATATAATTGTTGGTGCTAGATGTTTTGTTTCCAACATTTAAAAAAATAAAAGGCTGTTGTGGTGGATTTAATGTCTCCTCTCTAAACATGGTGATTTATTTCCATATTTTGCTAGTTTCTCTATATCTTGACCATTCTTTGGCTTTTATTCGCTTATGAATTAACAGATTATGTGAGCTCAGCTCATTGTAGCAGTTATGATGCTATGAGTTTTTGGGAACACAATTTTTGGAAGGATTTACAAAAACTGGGGCTCTGCCTAACTTTCCAGGCCGTTCCCCTTTTACTAATAATGAGCAGACTACACTACAACAGGAGGTCTCAGCGATATCTGAGAGACATGCAGAAATATTATAAAAAAAGAATTTGTTGATAACTTTTTTTTAAATTATTATTATTATTATTATTATTATTAAATTCCTAGAACTAAAGTCCTCAAATTTATAATATAATTATTTTTAGCTGTTATGTTCTGGAGTACAGATAGTTGTGCATGTCTGATTTTTCTTTATTTTTGTAACCCAGGTTTTTCTGTGAATTAAACTGTAATATTTAATGTGGATCAGAATGTTTATATGTTAATTTGTGGTCTGTTCCTGCACATTCCTGACTAATGATCAGTATAAACTCCCAGATTTTAGTCCTACCATGATGTAAAGTTATGATTTTATTTATGACACAGAGGCGAGTATTATGCTGCACTCTTTCTTTATTTCCCTCAGCAGAAAAAAATATAACATTAAAAAAAAAAAAATACGATTACACATAGATAGTATAACAACCACATTCTCATAGCAATAAGGTCAGCCAATCAGCATTGCTTCTATTCTATAAAAGACAGGACCAAGATAACCACTTCTTGTCATCTCAAAAGCGAAACAGGAACCAATATTACAATACAACAAATTAACAAAAAAACACAAGCGGAAGTCCGAGTTGGACCCAAAATGTGAACTAAAATGTGAATTAAAACAAAAGCCCTACAAACAAAATATAAACTAAATGAAAGGGCAAATCCCGACTATATTACCTTTTCGTTTCGTTCGTTTAATAGACTCCGTGCTGCAGGGGAATTAACCCCCACAACCCAGAGAAATAACAGCGCGCATACATGAAAAAAAAAAAACAAGGAGGGAGCCGGCAGCGCTACCAACTCCCTCCTTGTAATAAATATTAATTCCAAACCCCCCCCCACCCCTGCATTAACACCTATGGAGGTCACATATTAATTAAATCACTCCTATATAAAATACAGATTTTTATATCCAGTTTTAAATGACAGCAAGCAGCTGCTGGCTGCTCGCTGTTTAGGCGACATGCCCCTACTACACGGGGGACCTGGTACAGGGCAGACCTACTACACGGGGGACCTGCATGGGGTAGGATTAAACCTGTGCCACGTGCCAGGTGCCCCCTTATTGCACAAGTGACTGCCCAGTCACTAGTACTTTTACATTTGTTTAGGCAAGGCATGTGGGAGGATTTAACCTCCCTTTTATCAACAATGTGACCTCCTTTCTGATTTATATTTCGTGTTAAATGACAGTGGTTGCTCGTTGTTTAGCCGACATGCCCCATACTCGTGGCATACAGCATGTAGTGGCATACAGGAGGATTTAACCTCCCTTTCATTAATATGGGGGTCATAGTGACCCCCATAGGTTTTAATGCAGGGGGGGTAGGAATAGTTATTTATTTATTACAAGGAGGGAGCTAGCAGTGCTGCTGGCTGCCTCCTTCCTTTTTTTTTTTGCCCATGCGCAGTGCTGTTTTCATGTTACTGGACAAAACAAATTATTTTTTAACAAATTTCATTTGAAAACTAATGGTTTGCGGATGAAATTCGGGATTGACAAATTACATTTTTATTTAGTATGAAATAATTCGTACAAAACGAAAATTTCACTGGTGCACATGTCTAATATCAAGAAATGAATGAAATCTCACATGTAAGTAACATCAAACCAATATTAAACTCAAACATGAACCTAAAGAATAATGCATAGCATAACTGGTTACCAGATGAGTTACTGTGATGTATAGAAGAAAATCAATTGTCCTACCTAGATGCATAGAAGAGCCTGCCAGGGTCGAAAGGGCGGGATAATATACGCCTCCGTGTCATTAATAAAATTGTGACTTTACATCATGGTAATAGTAAAATCTATAAATTTTATTAAAGACACGTATTATTCTAGTTTGAAGCTGAGAAATCATGGTTCCCACAAAATGATGAGTAGGTCAGAAGTAAAATTCTTTGAAGTTAGACTCCGAAAACCAATTGGCAGCTTTTAAGATGTCTTCCAAACAAAATTTGGAAGTCTTAAGGGCCATTGCACCATGGATGGAATAAGGAGAAAAAACAATAATCAATACCCGCTACGGACATAATCCATTTGACCCAATAGGCTAGAATAGGGGTAGTCATGTGACAAGAGATGAAAAGGCCTTAATAGGTTGCTTTTAGGGGTTGTACGAGATTTATATGCGCGCAAGCATCCAACCGGACAAAGTTGAGGTCTCATAAGAAAAGCCAGGTATACATCTACGAGATATGTCAAAGAGGATGCCCTCTAGTGTAGCAGACGAGCAGCGGCATCAAGTGCTCAAACATCAGACACTCTCTTGCAGAAGATAAAGCAAAATAAAATAACAAGTTAGGCAGAAAGTTATGTTATTTGGGCATGCGTCAAAAAAAAATTCAGATTAAGAGAAACGCACCACAGGACGGAGTACCATGGTAAAGGTGGACAAGCAAAACAAACACCACAAAGAAGCCGACAGACAAAGGATGAAGTCTGACAGGGGCATCATCTATACTGTGATATCCGGCTGAAATGGCTGAACTATAAAGGTTCTCGGTACAATATGCTTTCCCCTCATCAAAGAGGTTGAAAATTTAGAATAGACGTCAAAGGACTCCATACAGAATCCAAATTTTGTTCCAGGCACCAACCAGTCCATGTACTCTAGGCAGATCTATAAGCTTGCCTTGTACTGGATGCCCATACGTCTTCAAGAGCACAAATGGAGGGAAGCATTATTTGGCAGTGCTGTTGGATCTGGTCTCCAACTGAAAAATTGCAGACCTGCGTATCAAGGGAGAAGTGAAAAGATCTATCTCCAATGGACCCCAAAATTGGGTCGCATTCCAAGGACAGACCAGGGATATGACATCACCTGATACGACGCTAAAAAGATGACCTCATCATGCGCCAAGGACAGATGGAACGCCGCATGCATTCCACAACTGAAAAATCCCAGAGAAATCTAATTTAAGGGCTATGTAAAGACTCTCATAACAGATTAACTTTATTCTGCATTTCCACCAACTGAGGATGCCAACATATCAGCAAAATTTTTATCCAATAGGTTTTTTTTAATATGTATTTTGTTTGATCACTTTCCATTTAAAAATAAAATTTAATATTACTATCTACATGGAGTTTTTCGTCATCCTGGTTAAAGGTGATTTGACAAATTGTAAGCATCTATTAATTTATTAAGGCCCCCGGCTTGCCGTGAGGTGCAGTCACACCCGACCGGGGTGACCGCGCTGACGGACTGAGCTTACCTGCTCAGCGGCGAGTCTGGAGCCGCTCCGCTGGGTTCTCCTGGCCGCCTGCCCTGATTAAAGTTGGCGCCGACCATGCGGTCGCAGCCATAAATAGCTCCACCCTCAAGGGTCACAAGAATGTGCGTGTGACGTTACGACGTCGACGCACACGCACGTTCTGGGGTCAGAGGTCACCCTCTGACCAATCACAATCAAAGGAGGGACATTTAAATCCCCGAAGTTCCCTGGTTCTTTGCCCTGTCATGCTTTCCGTTCCTGGTTCACAAGAGCGCGTTTTCTTGTCCTGTTTATGATATTCCTGGTATTTTTATCTTGGCTATTCCTAACTATTCTGATTTCTGGTTTCCCTGACTTGGCTTGTTAAACGGTATTGTATATTTTCTGGTTCCCTTGACCTCGGCTATCCCTTGACCATTCTCTGTCTAACATATTAGTCCGGCCATTCCAAGGACCGGTTTACGTTCTATCATTTTCTGTTCTGTCTATGTAGATGTTACATAGTTCTGCGTGCCGGACCTCACTAGCAGTCGTGATATAATTCCTATATAAGTAATAGGAAGAGGGTGTTGGATCTCCCTTAAAGATCCTAAGCGTTAGCCACCAGAGCCAAGTGATTGTTTGGCTCTACCTTTCCGATAGGTACAGATCACCTATATTATATTGTTAAAACGTGCTTGCACTGTTTCCTTCTTTTGTTATATTTTACAGAAATATTTAAATCAATATACGTATGTATTTATCAAATTAACTATATATTCTTTATGCTCCACCCCATTATATATTACCTCAACTATATAAACTTACATCTGACTCTATGACTATGTCCGGAGTTGTGGCAAATATGGTGCGAACATTGCATGCCTTCATATGAAGGAGCCACCAGCTGAGCTCGCCTTTTGCATCCGAGTCCAAAGTCACTAGATCCTTGTATGATGCACTTCCTCTGAGGTAAGAAGCTTGCAATCATTGTAGAGCCCGATAGTGAAGGGGGCCTGGAAAAATAGCTTGTATGCCAGTATGTCTATCATTTGTGCCAGGTGTTTCAGAGAGAGTTGGGTGATATCGAGCATGTGTCTAATTTCCTTTTTGATGCTCGTCAACTTTGTTACAGGAAGGTGTTGGGTCTGTTCACTGGCATCTACGATCAGACCCAGAAATTTGATGTGAGGGGGCCAGGATGGATTTTTCACGATTAACAAGGAAACCGAGATTCTGCCATAAGGTTAAAGTCTATAAAAGATGAGTATAGAGAAGTTGGATAGACTGAGTCAAAATCAGAATATCATCCAGGATGCACCCCTCAACTTTATTGTAGGGCAACCACAGTGTCCATAAGCTTGGTGAAGCACAATGGAGCTGATGCCAGTCCAAACGGGAGGCAGTAGAACCACCATTTTTTGTCCTTGCGATGGGTACTGAAGGAAATCTTGGTGACAGTTTGCAATACGCACTGTGAGGTAGGCATCCTGCAGATCCATGTGACGAATGTCGGATCTATGCATTCCGTCTTGATATGATGGTAAGACACATAAGTGTTGAGTTGATTAGATTTATTACCTGTCGGACATCCCCTCCCTTTTTGAGGAACAAAAACTGATTGCTCATGAATCCGAGGGTTTGGGTTGGAGTTTCAATGATGTCTTGTTTGTACATCAACTCTTGTATCTCCCTAGAGTTGAGGTCTGTGTCTCATTAGTAAAAAAAACTATTTCCCTTGGAGGGAAAACATTGGTGAAGAAATGAAACAGTTTACAGCTTGGAGAACCCAAGCATCTCATGTAATAAGGGACCATACATGGGAAAAAATGTGTTAGTATGCTTCCCACTGTTAGTAAGATTGTAAGAACTTACCATAAGGACATTAATCCCGAAGGAGCATCTTGTGTTCCTCAAGCAACCCAAGGTCAGTCACACTGTGAGGAGGAAGGTTGGTGTGGGTCTTTGGTCAGGGAAACTGGATCTTACTATATAGGAACCTTGGTTTCATCTAAGAGAACCACATGGGAAATGGAAGGACCAATGGTTCCTGGCTCTTCTGGCCCTGGCAAAAACATTTGTGTGAAACACCTTCTACATATATGCTTGCCCCTTGTCCAAAGCTGTAAAGGTGGACATATAACCCCAGGCCCTTAGTTACTAAAGTTAACTAACCTAGGCTCTATCTTCAATAGTACAAACTTGGTATTGCTTGTTATAATGTGTCCCCTGTTGTATAGTTTAAAATTACTGCACGATGTCTTTGTGCACCAAATACCGGCGAGATGGCACCGTGTAGAAAAGTCCAAACAGTGTCTGTGAGTTAAAATAGCCACCATCCATTGTTCTCACCATGTGCTTCATCCATTGTTCTCACCATGTGCCTCTGATACATGAAATGGTGGCCACCCAGTAACTCCACAGTATGTCCCCAGATGGTTCTTAAACAGCCAGCAGCAGCACAACACAAATCCATTATGCCCAAATCATGTCTTTAAAGGGCAATACATCCCAGGGGCCATAGTCACATGGCAGGAGACTGGCAATCAGTCTTCTCCAATGCCCAGTGGTATGGTCAGAGGCTAAAGCACTGGGGGACCCAATATGTCCAGGATTTTATTCTGACAATTCCTAAGTGAGAAGTCTAAGCCTTACTTAAGCTTCCATCCGGTTTTGCTAAAAAATTGGGAGTCTTGCAGACGTCATAAACAAACCATGGGCAGTGTGCCCCTAGTTTGTTATGGGTTGCCCTCTCCAAATGCTTGAGCACATGCGACGCGATGTATCACGCCATATGTTTCAAAGGTGCACACTCAGCAGATCGTTGATGATGTAGGTCATCAGGATCAAAAAGGGATTCACGTAATGGATCCAGGATCTTACCCTCTCCTCCAGGAACAGGGTGATTTACCTCAGTGCCAGATGTCTTGATGCCGTGAGAGAGGATGGCCATCTCCCCTTTTGCACAATCAGAATCTGGGTTCAGATTGATCATCCAAAGCATCCACGTAGGACTCATGGGACTCCTCCTTCTCAATATCACTGTGCTCAGACTCTTACATAGTGTGGCCAATTGTGCCCGGCTAGTGGCGTGGTGGCACTACTTTTGGGTGGTCGCTCAACTAAAGCCATCAGTGACAGGTGTATTTCTGTCCATCACAATTTTTGTTGAAGGACTTTTTGGACGTAGATAAGACTTTATGGTCTGGGTGAGGAGTGTTAGATTCAGATAAGGACACCGCCACCAGAGAAGCTGACAGAGCAAATCTGTGGGCCTGTGCTCATTTGGGAAAACCGAAAACCGAATCCATGAATCCAAAGTGAGCAAAGGAGCAGAGGCCAATGGAAACCGGGCGTAAAAGAGTGCAAAAGTGAAGATAAAGGCAGGTAAATCCCTAAGACATCCCAAGCCCTGCTGGATCAACCCAGGACCCAAGTAGTGGGCTAGGGAGGTCAGATACAGAAACCCAGCTAGGGAAATCAATAATCAAAACTAGAAATGCAATGAAAATAAGATAAAATAAATGAAATAAGAACAGTACCCAAAATTACATACAACAATAACAGAGATCCCACACTTGGGAACATAGAATGTGATAAGAACCATTCGTCCCATCTAGTCGGCCCAATTTTCTAAATACTTTCATTAGTCCCTGGCCTTATCTTAAGCCTCATACCTATCCCACGCATGCTTAAACTCCCTCACTGTGTTAACCTCTGCCACTTCAGCTGGAAGGCTATTCCATGCATCCATTACCCTCACTGTAAAGTAATACTTCCTGATATTATTTTTAAACCTTTGCCCCTCTAATTTAAGACTATGTCCTCTTGTTGTGGTAGTTTTTCTTCTTTTTAATATAGTCTCCTCCTTTACTGTGTTGATTCTCTTTATGTATTTAAATGTTTCTATCATATCCCCCTGTCTCGTCTTTTCTCCAAGCTATACATGTTAAGTTCCTTTAACCTTTCCTGGTAAGTTTTATCCTGCAATCCATGAACCAGTTTTGTAGCCCTTCTCTGAACTCTCTCCAAAGTGTCAATATCCTTCTGGAGATACAGTCTCCAGTACTGCGTATACTCCAAGTGAGGTCTCACCAGTGTCCTGTACAATGGCATGAGCACTACCCTCTTTCTACTACTAATACCTCTCCCTAAACAACCAAGCATTCTGCTACTTTTACATATTACATTGTCTGCCTATTACATTGTCTACCTACCTTTAAGTCATCTGAAATAATTACTCCTAAATTCATTTCAGTGAACACCCCAATAATAGGCAATTTCTTTGGTTCGAAGAACTTGTAACATTGGTCTCAATGATCTCCACTATTGCAAGGTATTTTGAAAAAGGTCTGGAAAGATGTGGAGAGATGAGCCCTCAAATTGGATTGATGTTTTTTACTCTCACCACCGCGAGGAATATGGCTTTATCTTGAAGAGTTTGAAAACGCACAATTAGGCCAGCCGTAGCTGAGGTTGGGAAAGTTGGTGGTTTCGGTATCCGGAACATGCCATCCAATTTAATTTCTTTAGGTAGTTTAGGTTGCATTAGTGCAGCTAGAAGCCATTTGATCTAGTGCAGCATTTCATCTCAACTCAGTATCTCAACTCGGGTATGCGTGTTTCGTTGAGCTTGCTGGATCTCCTCCAATTTATGCTCCACTAAGGTCACCCTAGAGTCTTGAGCACTTGTTATGGTTTCCAGTAGTGTGATTCTAGTGGTGACACTCTCGATGGAGGCCTTAAATGTGAGATATCTGCAGCTAAACATTTGCGCAGATCTTCCAGCATAGTTTTAAGAAGAGCTGCCGTGACTGGCTCCTGATCTTCTGTAGCAGGGGTAGGCTTTCCCCCAAGCACTGTGCTAAAGGACAGGCCCAATTCTGTGTCTGCAGCAAAATTTTCTGAATGATGACCCTTTGTCAGGCGGTGCCATATTGGGTCATGCGGCCTGATGTGAGTGCTGAAGGAGATTGCTGATATCTCAACTATTTGGAGTCTTTTCTGCCCTGGATTTTTTGGTTTTTGCAATGGGTCTAGGGTAAGTTCTCACTTCATCCAGCTGAAGAGTGTAGCAGAAATTTGCAGTTTTCTGCTGTTTTTTAGCGGAGCACATTAGGCTTGCGGCTGCTTGGATCCGTTGCTAGCTCTGCCCCCATCTATGTGTTATTTTATTGATTTATTTTAATGTTATATGTTTGCTGCAGAAATAGAAAAAAAGAGTGCAGCATAATAGAAGCCTCCGTGTCTTTAATAAAATCATCAGTATGCCCAGTATAAAGGACCTAGCTTCCACAGACTGCTGTGTAAGTAGTAAAGTTTATTGGTAACTATGGCAACATGGAATGTGTTATACCGTATAATAATTAGGCTGCAATATAATATATCGCAATGTAAACCTCTGTTAAGATTGATCACTTGATATTATAATGTACCTTTGTTTGCAGCCATATAATTTATTCAATATGTTTAACAAGTAAAATATATTTGGCTTGCTTATGCATATATGCTTGTGATGTTCATTATAGCAACACGTCCAACTATAAATATAGTGGGTAAGAAAACATAACTACAAACTCAGATTTCACGATACACATTTGTATCATGCTTTTGATTTTAATGTAAAAAAATGTGTTCATTATATGCCCCCAAAGTTACTATGACAACAGTCTTGGTATCTTAAATTGATATGCTTTAAATAAATGCCTAAAACAGTCTCTTTCGCAATGATTTTCCAAGTGATCGTTATTGGATACGTTGTTTTGATCTAATGTGGAATTTCATTAGTGTGTTTGGAGTAAAAATGTATAACAAACTGTGAGCTAAAAGAACACTATATAAATATATCATGGCAGACGGATAAAATTAAAACTTTGAAAAAACCTGAAGGTTGACATTTGTTGTGCTTTTATAATCTTTTTTTGTACAATTGTATTGTGATTATTTAATTATATTTTTGATTGTAAGCTTGTTTGGGCAGGGCCCTCTTTACCTACTGTTCCCGTATGTCGAACGGTGCATGTATGTATCAAACATGTTTGTTAGAATTGTTTGTCTTGTTTACCTATTATTTAGTGCTTTGAAATATGTTAGAACTATATAAATAATTATAATTAATTAATGTGTTAATTGTTAACAGATCCAGTTGTCTTTGGCTGTGATTGCTATGCTATCCTGTTGGTGGAGGCTATACCATGTAAGTGCCAGGATACCCAGCTCTAGCTGGCATCACATCATGTGGAGTAATATTCCAAATATTAATTTTGACACAGGATGATCAGTCCAACAAAGTAAAAGTAAGAAAAGATAAATATCCAGGCACACCTGAGTTTTCTTCTAAAAGGCAGTCTTTTTATTTGAAAAAGTGGAGGCAACGTTTCGGTTTCTCTCTGAGCCTTTATCAAGTCTTGATAACGACTCAGAAAGGAGCTGAAATGTAGTCTCCAGTTTTTTGTTCCAATTAAAAAGTCTGCCTTTTAGAAGAAGCCTCAGGTGTGCCTAGATATTAATCTTTTCTTCCATTTGATGTCTCCAGCGATTGGCCCTCCCTTTCTGGAGCACCCTGTGTAGGAAGTATTCCCCCTCTTTTAGTGTGTGCATCATGCTCTTGTTTTCTTGCAAACAACAAAGCAAAAGTGACACAGTGCTTCATTCTAGCAGCAAAATGATGCAGGTCATTGTCAGTTCACGATTGTAACGAGAATATACCCCTACACGCAGGATCCAGCTAAATAGAGGCAAATACAGAGGAGAGATACGTCTACCGGACCTTAGAATGGCCGGACTCGACGTATATGAGAGAAGACAGAGCCAGGAACAAACCGAGGTCAAGGGCACAGAGAGACAGCGTAAACTAGGACAAGCCGGGGTCTGGTACACGGAAAACAGCAAGCCGGCAAACAGTACAGATAAGGATAAAGCGAAAACGAAGTCAGAATACGAAGCCAAAGTCAATACGAGAAAACACAACTGAACACTACAAGCGCTAAAGGGAACTGAAACAGAAACCACGATAGGGCAACGAGCTAAGGGAAAAAGGTAAGTTTAAATAGCTTTAAAACGAAAGTGATTGGCTCCTGTCACTTCCACACCCCCTATAGGTAATTGTACAGGGAGTGTGGTATGACAGGAGCCAATGGGAGCCTTTTGGCAATTAGGCTCCCACTGTCTCTTTAAGAGCGCGCCCGAGACTCGCGGCGCGCTCTTAGTTTCAGGCGGGACACGTGACCGCCTCACGCGGTCACTGCCCGCCTTCCATCCAAAGTAGTTGGATGAGCCGCGCGCGGCTCGTGCAGCCGCAGGACCGCGCGCGGCTTGAAGAGAGGACCGCGACCGGCCCCCGGTTAAGGTAAGTAATGCTACAACGATACAAGAGAAAAGAGATAGGTACAGAAGGAGAAAAAATTACCATACCATGCCTTAAAAACACATCAGAAAAAAGAAGGAATTGGGCACCAATGTAAGGTTCAGTGTAAGATTTATTGGATGTATTGCAGCAATATTTCAGCCCTAGAAGATAATGGTTCACTAAACTGCTGTAACCCAAATAAACACTAAAATCTAATAAATTCTGCCTTGGACCTTACATCGATGCACAGCCTTGTTTTTTGCTTACATGTCCTTAACCAGTTTAACCTCACAATAATGATGGTGTGTATCACTTCACTGTCAAAAATGACAAAGAATGCTATGTGCACAGCTCTTTATATAGCCTGAACGATGCAGTCACGGCGTCTTTCCAGCACCACTCTTCTATGATGTTCTGGCATCGTTCTGGTGACATCAGATGCCAGGGCTATGAAATCTCAGTCCACTAGGAGGCCTGTGCTCTGTTGTGATCTCTAGAAGCCCGAGAGTGTGTTTTGATAGTTTTCCAATTTTCCAGTTATTGACTTTGGCTTGTAATTTTACTTTCCTAATCTCTCCAATGCTGACCTTGGTTTGCCTAACCAATATGTCATTATTACTCACTCATTTGACCTCGGCCTCTTCTTCAATCGTTCTGTTTTTCTATTATATGTTAATTCCGGCCACCTCTACGGTTTGGTATTACATACTGTTCTTTGTACTCTTCTGAACTTATTCTGACTTACTTTATACACAACAATATAAATAAATATATCATAATTGGAGCTTTTTTTCTGTTGTTTCTCTACATTTTGATTGCATTAAAATACACCTGGGATCCTGACTAGGTGCTATACCGCTAATGCTGATTACTTTGGGTATAGCTCAGTGCCATGTGAGTGTGATACTACTACATTGGAAAAATACAGATTCTCACTATATACATTTGTTTCTCTTTCTTTTGGGTGTTTGGCTGCAATGAGAACTTAAAGTAAGATGATACATCTTATTTCGACACAACTTTAATCATTTTTTTTTCCTGTGAGAAATAGATCGTTGTTGTCGATCTCAGCAAGACCGACTTTTAAAAAGCACTTAATTCAAAGATTGTGCACTGTTTGTCCTTTGCCACAGGCATCAAGAGACATAAAGTGTACTTCCTCCTTTATTTAATATAGACCAAATGCAGTACAGAGGTTTCCTTAACCAGACAAGAGTGCATTTTGAGATAGCTCTCAGGTCCTATCAGATAGAGAGTGGGTTACATCATGAATCTCCTGCCTGATAAGGCCATTGTGGCAGACCTCTCCTAGGTGACCAGAGTATTGCTGTCATGGACTCCCTTTCCCCTTAGTGAAAGCCCCAGAGGGATTATAGCTCTCTCCTAGTCATCAGTCGAGGCTTGATGTAAGGGTAAACCATGTACACTGTATTGGAGTGACTGTCACCAACAGGTGATCACCAGGAGAGAAATAGAATTACACAATACCTGGCACCTGAGTGACTGTACCTTACAAGTTAACTTTATAAACAGTCATACACTTCAGTGCCGAACAACAATACACCCCAAAACCACCAGTTCCCATGCCCACTTACTCAAGCTGGTGTCACCGCCCGACAGCTTTCTGCTAGACAGGTATTCAGTCCAAAACATGCTTGGATCAGAGGTGTCTAGTCTGGATAATAAGTTTTGACCAGGCTGCAAGCATCCTCCGATCCAGCATGGAGTTCCAGAGTGCTGGATGGAAAGTCACAGTCACGTTTGGTTTCAATTTCTGCATACAGAGTCAGTACATGGGGCTCCCTCAAGTCCTTGGTGTCGTTCTATGCCACACCACCCTCTATCACTCCTCCAAATAGTGACCTGTGACCTGGTAGGCAGTCTTTGGCACTCCAGATGTTGTGCACTGTCTCTCTCCTGATGCTTTGCCAGCACTATGGCTGCAAGTGCATTATGGGGGATGAAGCAAGGCCGTCTTTAACGCGGGGCAAAAGGGGCATCTGCCTCAGGCCCAGTCATTCCTAATGGGCCCAAAGCAGCTACCCCTTGAACCCGCCACATTCTTTTCGGCCGGACATCATGATGCGTGCAGCCGGCATTGAAATACCACTGTCTGTGTGTATCTGTCTGTATGTGAATCAGTGTGTCTGTATGTGCATCTGTCGGTGTGTGTATCTGTCTGTATGTGTATCTGTGTGTCTGTATGTGTATCTGTGTGTCTGTATGTACATCTGTCTGTTTGTGTATCTGTCTATATGTGTAACTGTGTGTCTGTGTGTGCATCTGTCTGTATATGTATCTGTCTGTATGTGTATCTGTGTGTCTGTATGTGTATCCACCTTAAAGCAACACTAAAGTGTCAGGAATACAAATGTGTATTCCAGACAGTATAGGTTTATAGGCCCCCACTAAAAAAGTGATTTACTCACCTTTGCTGAGGAGAGCAGGGGGTAATGGCATGCTGGGGAGAGCAGGGGGAATGGGCATGCCGGGGAGAGCAGGGCGTATGGGCATGCTGAGGTGAGCAGGGGGGTAGAGGCATGCTGGGGAGAGCAGGGAGTAGGGGCTGCAGGGGAGAGCAGAATGATAGTGGTTACAGAGGGAGCAGGAGGATAGGGGCTGCAGAGGAAGCAGAGGGTAGAGGTTGCAGGTGAGAGCAGGGGTATGGGTTGCAGAGGGTGTGGGGGTAGGTACTACAGAGGGTGTAGGGGCTGCCTTGGGATGATAGGAGTTGTAGTGCGTGTAAAGGTTTAGTGGCTTTGGGGGTATAAGGGCTTTGCTGGGGCAGTAGTGGGGGAAATTATACAATTAAAATATTTTAAATTTAAAAAAAAGATTTTAAAAAATAAATCCCCCCTCACCTCTTACCTCCCTAGTGGTCCACTAATCCTCTTCTGGAGGTCTCTCACTGCCCCAGACATGCTGCCTGTAACTCTGCTCAAGGCAGCTCCGCACAGCTCACTCTGCACTGTGACTGATGATGTCACTTCCTGCAGAACAAGCCGCACCGAGTTGCCTTGAGCAGTGTTACACTGAGATAGACACACTGAGGGGCAGCCTAAGGGCGTCTTTGGAAGGCCCCTTAGCTGTCCCTCAGTGTGCCCTGCACGGAGGAGAAGATTTGTTGCAGCAAAGGCCCGCGGTCCATGACCGATTTGCCCGAGTGCTCAGTACGCCCCTGGGCAGAGTGTATGAAGTGGTTGTAGTGTGTAGTGAATGCTGTTTGTATAGTGAATAAATAATGTGTGTTTGTGTAGTAGATGCAGTGTGTGTGTGTGTAGTGTATGCAGCGTATGTTTTTGTTGTGGATGCAGTGTGTGTGTTTGTGTAGTGGAGGCAGTATGTATAGTCAATGCAGAGTGTGTATTTACTTAGTGGTTGCAGTGGGTGTATAGTGAATGGAGTGTGTGTAGTGGATGCAGTGCGTGTTTGTGTAGTGGATGCAGTGTCTGTAAATACGTTGTGTAAAATAGTTGCTGCATTTTGTGGGAACAAAAAAAGTGTTTTTTAAATGTATGCTAATAAATGTAATTTTATTCCCCTCTTCATGCTTCTTACCTGTGGCCAGGGAAGGGGAGATTACATTCCATGGCAGTCCAGATGCATGGTGCAAGGTGCCATGCACTGTATATTGCAGAGGGGGCCAGCCAATACCAACTTCACTTTCTAGCTCCTCCTCTCTCCAACTCTTCTGAGCTCGGCCTGATATGATGACCCGTTGCAACACTCTGACAGCCTAAGCACCTTAGTTGATTCTTGCATTAGCTCGGGTGAATTTGTGCAATGTTTTCAAGATGGAAGTTACAGTCAGTTTAGAGACAGATTGAATATTGGAAGAAAAGATGAGACCAGATGGTAGATTGACATAGAGGAGGAGGTAGATAGAGAGAAAATAAATGAGTATTGGGAGCAGCGCTGTATTTACCGCGAGGCTGACAAGCCGCCCCCAGTGGCCCTGGCAAATGCCCTGCCAACCTCTTGTCTTAGGGGGCCCGGGAGCTGACCAGCTGGTATGCGCTGATGTAGGCGGGCGACAAGGGAGCACTCTCCCCTGTTCAGCTCCCTCGTGCGCACCGCAGTGATGCCGGAATATGATGTCACTCCGTCTCCAGCATCATAGCTCCCTCGCCGCCTCCACTATGAGCCTGCCTGCCCGCCCGACCACCCACATGCCTGCCAGCCCAGCCCCACTGGACCTCAAGGAAGAATTCACTCCAGAACTTCCAAAGGTAGAGAGGCTGGGTGGATTGAACTTTAAAAAAAATTTTTTTAAATAATTGTGAGTGTGTTAGTGTGTCTGTTTGTGAGTGTGTTAGTGTGTGTCTGTTAGTGATTGTGTCTGTTAGTGAGTGTTAGTGTGTATCTGTTAGTGAGTGTTAGTGTGTGTTCGTGTGTGCTTGCTATTGAGTGTTAGTGTGCGTCTGTTAGTGAGTGTGTGTGTCTGTTAGTGAGTGTGTTAACTGAGAGTGTATATGTGTTTGTCAGTGAGTGTGTATTAGTGTCTGTCAGCATGTGTATGCGTGTCTGTCACTGAGAGTATGTGTCGGTCAGTGAATGTAAGGCATGTGCATGGGGAAAATTTTCGGTTCTGCATTCCGAAATTCGGGATTTTCGCAATTCGTGACTTTGGCAATTCGGCACTTCAACACTTCGCAACTTCGGAACTTCGGAATTTCGGAACTTCAGCACTTCGGGACTTCGGCACTTCGGGACTTCTATTGCAACCGCTTAGTAGATAACTCCCTAATTCCCACGGTATTAGGGAGTTATCTACCAAAAGGCTGAAAGAACTAAATTTGTCTTTCAGCCAAATTTACTAATACTAAGTAAAAATGCTACACCGCGAGTAGGGGCATGTCTTGTAAACAGTCACTGTTTTAAAAAAAAATTAGGTTCCCCCCTTCCGAACCCCCACCCCTGAGCGGCGGGTGGGGGCCCTAAAGTAAAATGATGGGGGGCTATTGTCCTCCCCCCCGGCCCCCACCCCTGAGTGGTGGGTGGGGGCTCTAAATACTAATAAGGGGGGGGACCTAATGTCCTCCCCCCTTACCCCCACCCCTGAGCGGCGGCTGGGGCCCTAAATTGGAATAAGGGGGGGGAACCTGATGTCCTCCCCCCGGGCCTCCACCCCTGAGCAGCGGGTGGGGGCCCTAAATACCAACAGGAGGGGGACCTATTGTCCTCCTCCCTGGCCCCCACCCCTGAGCGGCGGGTGAGGGCCCTAAAAAAAAATGATCCCCCCCAGGTGACTAGGGATCCCCAAACCCCTAGTCACCACCCCAAAAATAATTATCCCCCTACCTACTCCCCTCACCCTAAAAATAATGAAGGGGGGACCTTTAACTAAGTTAAAAAAACTTACTATTCAATGTTTTATTTCTTCTAAAATCTTTTTTCAACCCCAAAAAAGGCCAAATAAAAAACCATAATAACCGACGCAATTAAAAAAATAATAATAATAATAATCCATCTTCACCCGGCGAGGGCTCTACGCAGACTAAGCTCTGCAAGGCGGGGGAAGGCTTATAAAGCCTTGCCCAGCACTGCAATTAGGCTCAGAGCACTCTGATTGGTGGGTTTAAGCCATCCAATCAGAGTGCTCTGACAGGTAAATGAAGGGACTGAAAGGTAAGTCTCTACATTTACCTGTCACAGCACTCTGATTGGTTGGTTTGAAATCCACCAATCAGAGTGCTCTGTGTCATTTTACACAGCGTGGGAAAGTTCTTTGGAATTTTCCCACGCTGTGTAATATGACTCATAACTTTCTGACTGGTGGATTAAGTGGATTTTTTTTAATTTATTTTTTTAACAATGAGCTGCCACAGGCTGCTTACTGTTTAATAGACATGCCCCTACTCGCGGCATAGCGAGTAGGGGCATAATTTACTAAAAATAAGTAATCTTTACTTAGAATTAGTAAATTTGGCTGAAAGACCAATTTAGGTCTTTCAGCCTTTTGGTAGATAACTCCTTAATACCGTGGGAATTAGGGAGTTATCTACTTATTCATTCCTGTCATTGCATTGACAGGCTAAGTAACTTACATTTTATATGAATGTATGTTACTTGATTGTAAGTGTTGCAAATGCTTACAGCTGAATCCTGGTTACGTTTGTATACTTTTTATTTAAAATTGTAAACAATGTAACATTCTTCTTCTTTCACTGGGCAAGTATATTAATACTTAGGCAATACTGTGCTTTGGAACTTCGGCACTTTGACACTTCGGAACTTCGGCAACTTCGGAACTTCGGCACTTTGACAATTCGGAAATTCGGTAATTTCTGAACTTTGTGACCTTGGCAATTCGGCACTTCGGCTATTCAGACATTCAGAAGTACCCGAATGTCCAAATTGCCCGAAATTCGTCTGAATTCATATTCGGACCGAAACGAATTGCACATGTCTAGTGAATGTGTATGTTTGTTAGTGTGTGTCTGTCAGCTAGTATATGTGTGTCTGTCAGCTAGTATATGTATGTCTGTCAGTCAATGTGTGTGTCTGACACTGAGTTTGTGTGTGTTAGTGTGTGCTTGCTAGTGAGTATTGGTGTGTGTCTGTTAGTGAGTGTGTGTGTCTGTTAGTGAGTGTGTTAGTGTGTATGTTAGTGAGTGTGTTAGTGTGTGTGTGTCTGTTAGTTAGTGTGTGTCTGTTAGTGAGCGTTAGTGTGTGTCTGTTAGTGAGTGTTGTGTGTGTGTGTGTAACTGTGAGTGAGTGTAACTGTGAATGAGTGAGTGTGTATGTCTGTGAATGTCTATGTTTTAATGAAAGTGTGTGTTGGTTAAACAGTGTGTGTGACAATGACTGTGTATCTGTAAGTGAGTGTATGTCAGTCCATGCATTCGTTGAGGGCGTGTGTCTGTCAGGAAGAGAAATTTGGAGGGGTGGTGCCCGAGTTTTGTTATGCCTAGGGCAGCACAAAACCAGAAAACACCACTGATTGGGAGAGCTAGAATGAGAACCAGGAAATGATGGAGTTGTCCAAGGTTTGTTTAAGATTTGAAGAAGCAACAAGTGTCAAATAAGACTGAAAGGTTGAGGAGTATTAAAAGAGAGTAATGATCTTTGTATTTAGTGGTGATTAAAACATTAGTCAAGTAAAGAATGGCCATAGGAAGAGAGTAGAAACTGTATAGAGGGTTTTGGAGGGAATTGTAATTGAGAAATTTTGTTAGACAGGTGTATATAATCTGTTATAGAAACGAATAAGTGAAAGGGAGTAATGAGATTGGACAGTAATTAGAAGGATAACTACTAGGGTCAAGAGATTACTTTTTAGGATGAGATTGGAAGTTGCATATTTGAGGGAAGTGAGGAACACATTAGAAGAGAAAGAAAGAGATATAGAGATTGATCATAAGTGTTGGAGGTGAATGAAGACTAAGGAAAGAGTTTGGATAAGATGAGTAGGAATTGGATCAAGTAAACAGTGGGTGGGGCAAGAACATAGACGGATAGCCCCCTATCCAGGGTCATTTATAAAGTTTTGCATTTTTTGCATTCACATGCCGAAAGGACCAGCCATTCAGATGGTACTTAATTCCTAACCAACAAAATGGCAACTTGCTTGGACTCAGCATAGTCTTTATTAAGTCATGCATTTTGTTTGCAAAGACCTCTCTCTCCCATGTCTGCTGTTGGCAAAGTACAGCATGCTAAAGCTGATAAAAGTGGAAAACACATTATTTAGTCATATATTGCCATAATCCAATTTATATATAAAACAGACTATTCCCTACTGACTGTGTGTTTTGAAATTACATTGAGTGGCTCTATAAAAGTATTTATTCATTTGTTTTAATACACGTGAAGCCAGAGGGCTGTTTTTTTTATGTATTCCTGTGCTAGCTGGATATTTTAATAAAATTATAAATGTAATATAATTCATAAAAAAATCCTGAACTATGTGACCCCTTTTAAATTTTAATTTATGCCAATGAACCTGAGATCAAGTTCAGTTTGGACAAAATACTTGAATCTTCACTTAGGCACAAATTCCACTTGGTTTGCTCAATTTTGAATACAGTAAATTGTACTTGAAACTGATACAATGTCCCTGAATATCTGTACATGATTATGACATCTATTAAATATTTAGTAAATTATATCTTAATCCAGAGCCAGAGCATATTGTAACGAGGAGGAGAAATAGAAACGGTGTTTCATTTCTCCTCTTCTCTCTAAGCTCTCTCTGTGCTGAATGGCTGATACAAGAAGCAGAGATGTGTATTTCTACATTTAAATAGCACATCTCCTTTAAGGTTTGGGCCATAAGGTTTGGGTCAAGGAAATACATAGGTATTAGGGAAACTTTAAAAGTTATGTTCTTAAGGTAGAATTGAGGGTCTTGGACTTGGGGGACTTAACTTAGTGCTATCCCCTTCCAGGATGCTACAGACTTTAACTCTCATCATTCTGTGCAAGGTAAAGATGGAAATTTACTGCCCATTGCATCTCAGTGTTCTCTTCCTTAACCCTAAATATTCCCTAACCATACAATCACTAGCCTAACCACAAGTCCTTAGTGCAGGGATAGGCAACCTTCAGCACTCCAGATGTTGCAAACTACATTTCCCATAATGCTCTGACACCCATAATGCTGGCAAAGTGTCATGGGAGGTGTAGTCCAAAACATCTGGAGTGCCGAAGGTTGCCTATGCTTGCGGCTTAGTGAATATAATTATGCAACCTATACCTTAGTCCCCACTATCCCTAATCCTATAATCTCATAAACCCACTGTAATTATATGCCTTTTTAGTAAATGCTAAATTTTGGAATGCAAAGTGGACACAAACACACAAAATAGAAAAAAACAACAACAAAATGAATGAATGAATGATTTACACAAATTAAAATTTCTTCCAGTTCTAGTACATAAAATGATCAAACAGCAATTTATACAAACTATGGATAACTTAAAAGCTACATAAAGCACCTATCTCATAAAGGTGACTAAACTGAGCATTCTTAAAATCTCATTAGAAATTACAAGAATATAAAAAGGGAATAAAATGAATTCTATCAAAGTGCTAATTGAGTTAGTGTGCAGTAAAATGCCTATTATCTGACTTTTCCATCTCTATGCACACATAGGATTGCAAAGAACTAAACATAAATTGTGCATTTGCTATAATAGAATTGTACCAGCCCACTAATAGACACGTTGTTCTACTGTACAGTTCTGGGACAAACAAACAAGGAACTGAAATTTATATTCACTAGAACGACTATGTGTAAATATAGGCCAGTTTTCTATTTCATGTCTTATATCCAATTAATCTACTAATCCAAAATGTATTTTGAGAACAATTAACCCTTTCCTTAACTATTTTGCATACATACATATTAACATTCATTCGCTGCCTTTTGTATGAACCATCAAATTGCTACCATCAGCCAGGAAATTGCAACCCACACTTTTCGTAAGTATACCCACCTCTTTCATGGACCCTCCATTTACTGAGCTATGTATAAAATGACTCACCCGTCCTCTTCATACTGAGCCCCAAGCCTTCTGGAGTCCTTCACAACTTAGAACACCGTTTCCAAGCTTGAACATCTTGCTTTTCCCTCTTAATTCTTTTTCCATTCTCTATCTCTGTATGTGATCATCTATATTCAGGATTCCACTCCCAACATTCCGTTGTGAACATACTAACCAAACCAGTTATTGGATTGATTATTACAATATCTAAGTCTCACGCATATCTTTTAATCCTACCATATCTCTATGCAACGTTATTACACAGTTGATCATCCTGTTTTCATTAGAACTCTTAAATCGTACAACTTCTGTGGCACAGCTGTCTCCCTCTTTTTCTTTTCATACCATCACTTCCACACTTTCTTTAGTATATCATTTGCCGACTTTCTTTGTATGACATGGGGCCTAGTTCAGTTCAGACCCCCCTTGATGCTCTCCAGGTGTGACTTGTGGCCCACATTAGTCATGGCAACTCCACCTGAACTGGCAACCCTGTGAACGTATGATTCTTTAAACACTGGCTGTTTGTTGTTACCCCCTGTAAGATAATTTGTGAATGTGGGGGAGTAGGAGGGGCTATGACAAAAACCAGAGATAAAGTCAAAGCCTTCAAAGCAGCAGTTTATAGTTTGGAGAGACAATAGCTTGGTAGATGACAGTTCACAGAGCGTTACACATTGAGACATTAAATAATAATAATAATAATAATAATAATAATAATAATAATAATAGTCTCACCAGTCTGCATACAATACAGCACCTATATTTATACTCTGTGTAGATGCAAATTGTGCACAATGTTCCTTCCAATATTACAGAGACTGGCACCAACTACTGCCCCAGATTTTAACATAAACATATAATCGTATACACTGGTTAACTCAATATCTTTTTTTGCAAATCAGGTAGGCAGAGAATCATGTTACAATAAAGGTAAATACAAGGCACTTTCAGTGACGCATCATATAATTCATCACTGTCTATTTAGTATTTAGAGATTTTTTAGGTAAATGCTATTTTTTTTAATATAGTCAAACTGCAGAATTTTTTTGAGTTTCCATTTTGAAAGGAGTTAGCAGGCATGCCCAAAAGGTAGATACCCAGATGTCACCAAACTAAAACTGCCATGATGATTTGCATGTCTTTAGAATTACAAAGCATCATGGAAGCTGTAGTTTTAAAACATGTGGGGATCTACTGTTTGTGCACCCCTGCTAACCATTCTCTAGTTTAGAGACATAAAAAAATTAGGAAATTGTCTTTTAACTCACAACCAGTGGCAGAACTAATGAAGAGAGGACTCTCGTGCAAGACATTTAGTGTCCACTATAAAACTAGGGAGACCAAGAAAATAGAACCTTAACTGTCATAAAACTCACACGATGCTTTGGCAGCCGGGGATCTAGTAGATACGCCTACAACAAAGTACAACCGTAGGCATTGATTGATAGTGCAGTATTATTTGATTTCAAATAAATCTAAAACTCCATGCATATCACCTGATTTAACCAAACAAAAAGAAAGAAAGCCATCTACAGGCAATGGCTGCCTAAAAAATAGACTAGACCACTTAGCCCATAGACGGTCACACCTTATAAGACACTCCAGTTGTGTCTTGGGACATAACCCCTGATTAGAAAAACTATAAGATACTCAAAATAACTAGTACACGAGTATCCACTGGAATAATGAATAATAATGATTATATACAAAGTGAGATATAGAGATATATACAATGAGAAAATACAATAATAGAAAAATGGGTCAGGTGAAAGTAGAAAATAACTGCCTAATGGCAAAAAACTCTCTTCCTAATGTTTCTAAAAGTAGATACTGCAGTTCACAGGTTTAGACTTTAATATATAATGCTTCATAGGTCAATATCTGTGACTGCAGGCTAGTATCAATACATCTAAAGAATATATAAGAGACATAAAGGAATTGCTTTTACCTAGTAAATCTCAGACTGTGGCATTATATAAGCTATAATACTAAATTGCTAGCATATTGGAACATTAGAGGCTGAGTAAGCAGAAAAGTATAAATAGATACTATATGTTGGATCTATTGAAAATAATTCAATCAGTAAATTGTATCAAAAAAGTATCTATAATGTTAACTGGCATGTACTCAATTGCTAGCATATTGGGACATAAGTAACTGAATAAGCAGAAGAGTATAAATAGATACTATATATTGGATATAAAATAATCCAAAAAATTAAATTTATTAAGAGTAGTATCTATCATAATAACTGCCACAGATAAACTAAGTTCAAAATTATTGAATAGACAAAATATATCCACAAATGGATCTGTTATATAATATGCCACATATTGGAAGGTATAAAGCACAAAAGAGAGATAAAGTGAATAGTGAAAAAACAGTGTACTAAATGTGCAAAGCCATGCTTAGAATGCTGGCTGCCTGCACAAGGTGACAGAGTGCCCTATAAGTGAAAAGATGAGGGGAAAGAAGACCCCCCCCCCAAAATAACCCGACGTGCATTTTTAGTGCTCTTGTGGTGCACCTTCATCAGGGACTAAATCCACACTGACCCACGGGTCCCTCTTATAGGGACAAGCCCCTCCTACCAATAGATGTATAGCCAATCAGAAAGCAGGTAGTTTGGCGCCAAAAAAAAAAAAATACTAACTTATGCTAATGAGATTGTTAATCAATCCAATCCATTCTCAGCTCCTATTAAGCCAAATATTCATTCTTAATTGGCATCTCAAAATAAACTGCTCGTAAGGAGAACTGCTATGGTCTTTATTAGATAGCCGATCCTTTAGTTCTAATCAGTTTCTGGTTAACAGGTAATTGGAACTAATCAGTTACTGGTTACCCCTCATGGGGGAAATATTATTAACACTTGTATAGATATTGAAGACTTAAAACAAAGTTACCGGTATCAATCTTTCAAAAGGTATTACTTAAATCAACCATAAGATATAAAAATTATCGGAATGCTATATATTCTGGTCAGTGGTACAATGATACACTTTAAAGATACCGATAGGGCATAAGTACAATAAACATATTTAAAAGTGTTGAGACTAAATTTCAAAAGATGGTAACAATAATGATAATAATGATAATAATAAGACACCCATATGATCATCCCAAGATTAAGGGGTCTCAAACAAATTAAAAAATAAAAAATAAATAAATTAAAGGGAAAAGAGGAGAGAACCCCTGATCTCAAAAGGAGGTAAGCTCAGCAACCCATTTCTCAATTTAAAGAGACAGAACATTTTTTTTTATTATTATTTTTTTTTTTGTGTGTGCAGACCACCTTGGTCGGGCTTGTGAGATTTGCTTACAATTACAACAAGTATAAAGTTATGCGATTGGTAACAGAGAGTATCAACTAGCAGCATGCATTATATGTCTGATTCAATGCACTGTTTATAGATTACATTTTAACATCAGAATACTCATGCTTTTGGAATAAATGTAAAATTGAAAACACGTTATTATCAAAGCAGCAATAATAAACTGAAAAACAAAATATAAGTGATTAGCCTGGATACAGTCTCGGACCAGGTGAAAACAGTCCTCTCAGCCTATGCCCGTGGTGATCAAGCTGGGTGCAGGCGTGTGTAGCAGGGTCTTGTCATCTCCCGTGTCTCTGTGCCGAGCCACATCATAATAACAGCCTCAGGTGTTGTCAGGACCCCCTTCCTCGTGTCCGCGAGTCACCTTCGGTAAGTGTGAGAGGCGGCTCAGCGGTGCGTGTGATGGTCTTCTCAGCAGATGTGGTGTTGGCGTCCAGTGCAGGTAGGTCCCTGGCATTCCATGGCAAATATGGACAAAGCGTCGGTCCCTGGCTTGCTTCTGCAGGTGGTATCGCTGTTGCCTCGATTTGCGTCGCTTAGTTGCTGTCCGTTTAATGGCTGCCTTGTGGGTAGCGCTACGTTGCTTTGGAGGTGTGCTTCGTTGAGTGGGCTGAGGCCAGATAGTTGCCATCGGGACCGCCATAGGTGTTTCCAGGCGGTGGGTGAGTTTAGACCAAAAGTCTGCAAACAATTTGTCCAACCTGTCTAGGATACAGGGATGCTGGATTCGTGGGGTTTCACACGTGGGTGTCGCCATCTTGTGGAGAGCAAAGTGGCTATGACCTGTGGATTACTGCTTAGAGGCTGTCACCAAGGCACATGTGATGGTTACCAGGATATCCCTCACCGGTGGGGAGAGAGAGTAGACTCTGTGTGAGGCGTCAGGCAATGGGGAGAGGGATCGCCGCTTCCCTCCAGCTGAGTGAGTAGGCCTGTGGTAGGCCGCAAGTTTGCACCTCACGAGCTCCTCCAAATTCTGCCAGAGTCACAACTGGAACATCAAATGAGGGGTCCACTCGGTTACAAAGTAGGTTTGCTGTTATCAGTTTGTAACTGTGGACTGTTAGTTGTTGATTAAGGGCACTTTAAAGATTTTTCCCTCAGAGCTCTCGGAATGTGCGACTGAGCAGCACGTCGGTAAGGGTTCGGCCCCTTTTTTGGATCATTTTATATCCAATATATAGTATCTATTTATACTCTTCTGCTTATTCAGTTACTAATGTCCCAATATGCTAGCAATTGAGTACATGGCAGTTAACATTATAGATACTTTTTTGATACAATTTACTGATTGAATTATTTTCAATAGATCCAACATATAGTATCTATTTATACTTTTCTGCTTACTCAGCCTCTAATGTTCCAATATGCTAGCAATTTAATATTATATCTTATATAATGCCACAGTCTGAGATTTACTAGGTAAAAGCAATTCCTTTATGTCTCTTATATATTTTTTAGATGTATTGATACTAGCCTGCAGTCACAGATATTGACCTATGAAGCATTATATATTAAAGTCTAAACCTGTGAACTGCAGTATCTACTTTTAGAGACATTAGGAAGAGAGTTTTTTTGCCATTAGGCAGTTATTTTCTACTTTCACCTGACCCATTTTTCTATTATTGTATTTTCTCATTGTATATATCTCTATATCTCACTTTGTATATAATCATTATTATTCATTATTCCAGTGGATACTCATGTACTAGTTATTTTGAGTATCTTATATCACCTGATTTGTA